AATTTAATTTGGAATGTTCCAGGGAAGGTGCCCATAATTCTTTCCTTTTGTTATTTAGAATTTTATTATTGAGTGTTTAAAGATACTTATTAAGAAATTTAAAATATTAATAATTTTTTGTAAAAAAAAATCTATCATAAAAATATATAATCAATTTAAATTTTATTCATTAATAAGACATTTCAAAAAATGTGTTTGGACGTTGTATTTTGTGGATGAAAAATGCTTCGGACCCCCACTGGGGGTCGACTCCTAGTGAGGTGGCGCGTCGTGATTGGATAAAAAAAAAATTGCTTTATTTATTTATTTATTTTTTTTGAGTTTCAGCCAGTGGGGCTCGCCACCTCACTGGGGGTGCGACCCCCACTGGGGGTCTGCGGCATAGTTGTTTGTGGATAGATATATGGAGAGGGAAAAAAAAATTCCTCTTTCATTTTTCTCTCTACAAATTCATTTACAAGTCAACTATCTAAATACAATCTAATTATTTATTTTATGTATTATCAATTTGATAATTGCATTACAATTTTTAGATCATGAAATTTCTTTTGAGGTGTCAAATACCATTACAATAAATTAAAAAATTTAAGAACAAAATTACTTTTTAAAAACAAAATATCATAGTTATCAGAAGTGTCATTGTTGTACTTTTAGCAACAAAATTGAGCATTTAGTGATAAATACTATCATTTTGGGATCAAAATTTTCGTCTCAAAAAATAAATCTTTGTTGCTAAAACTACAATTATTAACAACATTATTCAAATTTTGTCGCTCAAGATCATTTTTTTTTTAATTTTTCGAGACGACCTTTTAGTAATGACTCTCATGACAATAAAAATTAGTCTCTTAATATTTTTTACAATAATTTTTTTTTAAAATAGAAAAAGTTTAATTTTTAAAATCCTTCAATACATAGGTTACAACCCTAGTTGTAGCTTATGTGCGACAGCTACAACACCGCCCAATAAATTTTCCAAATAAAAAACTAAATAAAAATTGTGAGTGTGTAAAATGCTATTCACTTAAGAATAAAACTATACATATCAATTAATATATCATTTGTTTTTCTCACAATCATTAATATAGCATTCAAGCACTTTCCCCCAGTCAACTTTTTCATTTGTTTTTCTATATTTAATTTTTTGCACCAAGTAGACAATTTAATTTGGAATGTTCCAGGGAAGGTGCCCATAATTCTCTCCTTTTGTTATTTAGAATTTTATTATTGAGTGTTTAAAGATACTTATTAAGAAATTTAAAATATTAATAATTTTTTATAAAAAAAATCTATCATAAAAATATATAATCAATTTAAATTTTATTCATTAATAAGACTTTTCAAAAATTTTATATATACTCAACAATATTGCAGCATGCACTCCACATATATAATGAATTTAAATCATTAATTAATTTTTCCAAATAAAAAACTAAATAAAAATTGTGAGTGTGTGGAATGCTGTTCACTTAAGAATAAAACTAGACGTACTAATGGATGATATGATATAATTTTAAAAATTTTAATTCTTCGTAATTTGTATAATAAGTGAGATCAATAATTTTGAAGTGACAACATCATAATATTTGTTAATACACTAATTGTTATAATAATTGATGCGTGTAGCACCACTCTTCACTTAAATTTGTAAAAGATACGAACAAAATGTAGGCAATGAGGTGGACTCACAAAATTGTATTTTTTATTTTTATTTTCACTTATCCATTAACATAAGCAGATTGACAGAACATTTCGGGAGAAAGGTATACCTTGTGATGTCATATGGATGGATATTGACTACATGAATGGGTTTCGTTGTTTCACTTTTGACCAGGCATGTTGAGTGAGAGCACTAATTAGTGCCATCACTAATAATGTGGCAGTGGGTCCCACCCACTGCCACAGTGTGCATTGTGTCTGTTGTTGTTGTTGTTGTTGTTTTTTTTTTTTTTTACCTTTTCCACCTCATTAGTGGTGAATTAGAGCCACCAAATTAGAGGTCTACTGAATGGTAAACTATTCCCTAGACCCTCCTGCCATTATTGACATGGAAAATGAACTATTGTGATTTCTATCAGGAACGCTTTCCGGATCCAAAATCTTCAGTGAAAGATCTTCATCACACTGGATTCAAAGCAATCTGGATGCTTGACCCAGGGATCAAACATGAAGAAGGATACTCATTGGATTCGACAACTAAATAATTTTTGTAGCCAAAACTAACTATACAACGACTAAAATATTTTTTAGTCACTGAAAATATATTTTTGGCGACCAAATTTTTGGTCGACAAAGATAAAAATTAAAATTTTGTGTTTCATTCGGCGGCTAAATAATTTTAGTTGTCAAAACTAACTATACAGCGACTAAAATATTTTTTAGTCGCTGAAAATATATTTTTGGCTACTAAACTTTTTGTCATCAGAGAAAAAAGTACTTTTGGTTGCAAAAAATTACTTTAGTCGGTAATAGTATCAACTTTTAGCTACAAAATATTTTTTGGTCGACAAATGTCATTTTTTTGCGACCAAAATTTTTTTAGTTGGCAAAAGTGGTCAGCAAATGTGTAATTTTTTGTAGTGGTAATATATCTTTATTATACAAATCTTAAATCAATAAATATTATTTAAGATGTAAATTAATTTTTTTTGATTTTTTTAATAACTTTTTAATTAAAATGTTCAATTCCCAAATTAACCTTAGTAGTTTGTCTAATATTACTCTCTATTTAGTTTGTGTAATTTAAAAAAGAATATGTCCAATTTGGGAAAGATTGTGATATATACACCTTTACTATATATATATATATATATAATGGGTATTGCTATGCTACCGTATGTAAATTATATTATTTGTAAATTTTTGATTATTACAAATTCTAAATATTACACGACGTATACCTAAATAATTTTAGAATCATAACCAATAAATAATTTTATAATCAATATCATAATGTATCATAACTAATAAAATAATAATGTATCATAACTATCATAGCCAAATATATGATTATAACTATATAGGGAGTAATTAACAAATAGTAAGATCATAATGTATATAACTATCAAGCCTATGTATCATAATGTATATAACTATATACAGAGTAATTAACAAATAATAAGATCATAATGTATATAACTATATAGAGAGTAATTAACAAATAACAAATAATATAATCATAACTATATCATAATGTATCATAACTATCATATCTAATATGATCATAATGTATCGTAATGTATCATAACTATCATAACCAAATATTATTTTCCTTTTATTTGTTTTTTCTATTTACTTTGACCATGCGTAGCTTTTTTATTTTTTATTTTTTAAGATTGGACCACGTGAACCTCTTGAATCACTTGACTTGACTTTTTTGTTCAGTTTCCTTCCACCTACACTTTTAATTTTATTATTTTACTACTGTTATTATATTATATTATATTATATTTTTTTAATGAGGCGACTAGGCATATAAAAGGAACACTTTCGCCGCTGGGGTTGGGAAGTACGTATATATATATATATATATAGAGAGAGAGAGAGAGAGAGAGGCGTAGATAGTTGATGGTCGAGAATGAACATTTCCTCCAGAGAGAAAATCTTATGGATGATGATATGATCCGTGACTTTCCTCCCTATTTCAAATCATATGTGAAGAACCACCAACTGCTCTGCCAGCACAGAGACTTTAACTGGGGTTGGGTTTTTTGGAGTGGAGAAGACAACCCACACGAACGTCCTCCTCCTCCACCTCCCTTCTCTGATTTGTTTCTCTCTCATCTCATATTACTTACTGGTTGGCTTTCACTCCAATTATTCTCTATTTAACTAGTGTCTTATTGAAACACTTACTATTAATTTTCTTTTTCTTTTTTTATTAAAAAATTTAATTTAATTTTTGTTAGTTTTATCTCTGGGAAAATCCCAATTCCGGTTGTCAGTGTTAAAATATAGGGAAAATATTAAACAGGTGACACAGAACAAAATGGTCATATATAGCATTTATAACTTGCGCTTAAGTAGTAGGTATGTTTACAATTTTTTTTTTCCAATATATTTAGATTTGATTAGATTTTTAGTAGATTCCCACTTTCTTTTCTTTTTGCTTACCTTATTCTTACTTTGCCTTGTATTTTTTTATTTTTAATGGAACCCTGATTGCTCCTCCTATTCCAGAGTTTATGGAGAAGATAAAATCCTACATTAAAGATCTAATAGTTTTCTGGCCGAGAACACAGTTTCTTGCACAATTTTGGAAAGTCATAGAAATTGAGGGCAAGTGTTTACTTACAACTCGACACCAACCTTTCGGTTTTGACTTTATCCATGAAGGACTTTGTCGGTATAGGTTGATGTCTTTGGATTTTGAATTTGATTTGGATGGAGTGAGTGATGAACATCTTGGCCTCCTTGGCCGTGTGTTCTGCCATCAATAGTTGGAGTCTACCCCAAATGTGCAGTATTACTCCTGCAACGAGTATCCACAGCGCTATCATGCTATCAGTTGCGATATTAATCAATCTGTGGCTTTTCCATTGTTTGAATCTTCTACGCGGTGTTGTATTGGTGTAATTGAGGTGGCGTTGACAGATGAAAGAACATATAGAACTTGCGGGAGTTTCAATTCTAATCGTGTATTGAAGTTTGTCCCCTAACTCCCTAATTGGAATAATCAGTCCCATTTTTACGTTCTCTTCTTTAATTTTGTTTATTTATTTATTTATTTTTTTTATGCCTGTCCATTGATTGTTAATTTTAATTTTCGATGATGGTTTCTTTTTCTTTTTCTTATTTCTTTTGTTGATGGAGCTCAAATTATTTTACTAGTTGGTTCCATTTTTTTTCGATCGGCAAAAGGAAAGTTTTATTGATGACAAAGGCAATAGTCTTAAAAGGCAACTCATAAGTGATAATATTTTATTCTTACAAATATCTTTCAGTTTAAATATATCAACATTCTTCAATTATAGCATTTCAGTAAGTGGGAGGTTCAAGGTTTGACGAGTTCAAAATGTATGCATTTGGATGGTAGGAAAGTAAGTGGCGAACTGTAATTGAAATGTCCAATCTTGTATTGTTTTGTTCATTAGATATTGTAAGGACTCTGGGCTAACAAATATATATTTGTGAAATATTATCAAGAGAAGTATGAAACTCTCGAAGAAATCGAAATCCAGATGATGCTAGAAGTGGTGTGTAACACTCATTGTCTACCTTTGGCTCAGACTTGGGCCTTGTGTATGCTTTGCAATGTTGTGTTCACAAATGATAGAACCTATGATAGAGAGAGACAAAAGTTTGCTTTTTTAGATGCATGTGCTAAACATTGCCTACGAAAAGGGCAGGGGGTTGTTGGGAGAGAAGTTTTGTCCCAAAATTTGGTCTTCTGCAAAGATGTTACTCAATTTAGCATAACTAAGTACCCTTTGGCACACTATGCATGCAAGTATGGACTTATAGGTTCTTTTGCAATTTGCTTGCTGAGTAGTTATAATGAAGACAATGTTTACATGCTAGAATTCTTTTTGCCCCCAAACTACACTGAAGGTAGAGATCCGAGGATTGCTTTGGTTCCGTTATTGACAACAATGAAGCAGCATTGTAAAAGTTTTAAGGTTGCTTCTGGATAAAAACTAGGAGAAGAGTTATCTGTTGAAGTTCTTGATTTTTCAGAGGATGGTAAACTTTGTTCTTATCAAATACCCCAAACTGCAAGAACTCCAAATAGGATGGAGAATGGAAAAGAGATGGTGTTGCTAGATTTATCCAATCAATAATTACCAGAAGTGGATGCTGTAGACACTGGAAACAATGTTGTTAGTAACACAGAAGAAAACAACAATGCTGTTACTTCTGTACAGCAAAACTCGTCCCAAAGGCTACAAAGAAAAGCTGGAATTCCAATTAGATTGGACGATCTCCAGCAACATTTTGGAATGAAACTTAAAGATGCTGCACAAAGCCTTGGCGGTAAGCTTACATACTTGGGAAAACACATTCCTAGCTACATCCTTGGGAAATGTCATATACTTTGGTAGTAGTAAACAATGTATTTTTTCTTATCTGAATTTGGATTTTTCGGTTTGCAGTTAGTCGATCCACAGTGAAGCGTGTTTGCAGAGAATATAATATCACCTGGTGGTCACCTTGCAAGAGAAGTAAGGATAACCAATTGCTTTCCAATAAACCTATCCAAGGTGGTGTGCAGGAACAAATCCTAGAATCTAGTCAGCCCCCAATTTCTGATCCACCTCATATGCAAGACATGGCTACTGCTTATCACACAAAGCCACATTTTACAGTAGCGCAAGACACAAATATTGTGACCATAAAGGCAAAATATGGAGATGATTTTATTAAATTTCAGCTTCCTGTGTCGTCGGGAATGGTAGAGTTTCAACAGCAAGTGGCAAAGAGGCTGAACCTACAGGGTGGAACTTACCGTGTCAAGTATCAAGATGAGGACAATGACTGGATTTTAATAGCTTGAGATGAGGACTTGCAAAATTACATTTGCCATTCGATATCACAAGAGAGGAATACAGTCATAATGTCGATTCAGCCAATTGCTAATTGCCCACCTTTAATCCTTACTTAATATCCATCTATCATTTTAGCTACATGTGGAATTCTCTAGTTTACATTTAAAATACAATTTGAGGTTTGTATCTTGTATGTTTGTTACAAGTTTGTATGTATTTTATGTATTGCGTGTTGTTTACTTAATTGATTATATAATATGATTCAAATTTGTCAGTTAGATTGTAAAAAATTCTTAATCTTAGGGCATGGTATTCTTAATCTTAAGCCTTGTTGTTGAGCTGGCAAGTTTGGCAATTGCCAAAACTCCTCTCAAATTTGGCATCAGTTATAGCATTGCTATAATTTAGCAGGGGATATGCCAGACCACTAGAGAGCCGTTTTTGTGCACACTGGTTATAAAATGGCTTTGGCAACTCTAATGGCAGACCATTGGAGATAAACTCCATCAATTGTTATTATCTTCCAAGAACCCATGAATGATCATTATTATCTTTGCAAATAGTTCACTATTTAATTCAATTATTTATTTATATAATAACGTTTTTAGAGCACAAAACCCAATGGAAGCAACACCATTATTGTGTAATAGTAGTAAATTAGGCCGAGCACTGGTTCTCAGACCCTCCTTTTCTTGTGTTTCATCAGTTTCAAATACGGTACTGAACACTGGTCCTCAGACCGACTTCGCAGCAACAACAAATTCAACAGCAATTGCATTTTCTCTGTTGCATTCGGTCAGGTGAGGCTGTAGTGTGAATTTGTGTTCCGATTATTTGATTCACTTAAAAAGATGGGTTTCACTCACTTGGGAGAGAAATTAATTGGCTTCAGTCCAAAATCTAAAATCAGTGAAGCAATTAGTAGTATGATCAATATTGTTGTTGATATTGTTTCTTAAGATGATGATTATAATATGATATGCACATTTGGTTTGGAATATGATTCATTTAAAATGATAGTTTCACTCAATTGGAAGAGAAATTAATTGGGTTTAGTCAAAATTGTAAAGTTAGTGAAGATATTATTGGTATGATCAATGTCGTTGTTGTTGTTTTTTTAAGATGATAATAACAATATGCACATTTGGCTTGGAATATATATATATATATATATATTTTAATGCTTATGATGTTTGATTTTGTTATTGTTGTTTTATGATGATGTGTAGAGTTTTGGTGTAGCTTCTAAATGCATGAATTGTCTATAAACTGTTGATTACACTATCTATGTGCATTTCTGTTCCAATGTAAGAATTGGGGGATTGTTAAAAGGAATGGGTTTGACTCTATTGGTAGTTTTGTGAAAGAGGGGTGTAATTTGTTGTCAGTGTCTATTTATGATATTTGGGTTTTGACTCTGCTTAACAAAATTGACTTGTGCTTTCTAAAACTTTATATGTAATTCTTTAGTTTTCTTTGATCACCGGGGCAGATTCCTGATAAAGTTATTCGGGCTGAAGAAAGAAGAGGATTAATAAAAGGTTGATAGTGTCTAAGATGACTGAGTTTGAAGAGATGGCCGTGACTTCTGATGTGAAATCAGGAAATATGGTTTTTGAGCCTGTTCTAGAGGAAGAGGTATTCAGATTTGATTGCATTGCGGATCATAGGAATGCAGCATTTCCCAGTCTTTCTTTTCTGAATCCCAAAGACAAGGACACACCAATTATGACTAGCCACAACGTCTCTTCATATACCCCTACTTTTGAATGTGTTCTTGGAGAACAAATTGTTCAAATTGAGGTCAGTTACATAACGTCATTTATTATCTTCTTCACCATAAGTATTTACTTTATTCTGTGTAGATATATATGGTTATGCATTTATAAATTTTGCAGCACATTTCACTGATGTAATTGGATTTTTGTTTTGATTTAGCTTCCAATCGGTACTTCATTCTATGAAACTGGAGAAGTTAGTGGACAGCTTGAACGGACGGGGAAGAGAGTAAGTTGAATTGGTTAGTGATCACTGAAAACTTTGTTCTTGTTCTTCATGTATTGAGCAATTATGTTATATAAACAGGTTTTTACATGGAACATGGTTGCCGGGGCTTATGGGCCTGGTACTACGTCCTTGTACCAATCGCATCCAGGGGTGCTAGCTATTCTCCCAAGCGGAGAGGCACTAGGGGTTCTTGCTGATACAACGCGACGATGTGAGGCACTTGTGATTTTTTATTTATGTCATTTTGTCATGTATATGACTATCAAATGGATAGCTGCGTTAATGGTCAATTTTATTTGTTTTTATGCAGATTAATTTGCAGAAAGAATCAATAATAAAGTTTGTTGCTCCATCATCATATCCTGTCATTACATTTGGTCCATTTGCTTCACCAACCGATGTTTTGATATCTTTATCTCATGCAGTTGGTAATCTTCTAAAGAACTTTGTAATTTGTTCATTAAATCTACTATATAACGTCTTTGAATGCTTTTAGTCAGCTCTCCTCTAATTTTTTGTCTTAGTTCTTGGAGAAAGAGAGAGGATGCCTAAATTATGTAATTTTGATTCTTTTCAATTTTTTTTATCATTTTCGGCCGTTGATACATTTGTGCTTTAAATAGCTGCTTCATTTTCACCAGAGATTGTGGTGTGTGTATTTACCAGTTCAAGAAAATGCAAACATTTGGATTTTGGATGATATGGCAGATATTTTTTTCTTTGCTAGTGTTCTGCCGTTGTTGTCGTTTCCTACTTCTGGATAGTAACTTACTACCAGTATAACTGGTAATTTTCTCACCAGGTACTGTATTTATGCTGCCAAAGTGGTCACTGGTATCATCAATGTTGTTGGAGCTATGACTCTGATGCACGAGTTCGTGAGGTTGTTACTTTTGCATTTAAAGAGCTAAATAAATTCTCTCTCTCTCTCTCTCTCTCTCTCTCTCTCTCTATATATATATATATATATGTTTGTTTGTGCATAACTATTCTTTTCCACTGTTTTTTTTGTTTTTGTTTTTGTTTTTGGTATCTTATGACCAAGTTCACAATCAAGGTGGTATTTGACATAGGATATATGTTTGGTTTCTTGTTTTTTTGATGAGTAAAAGCTGATCCTCACATTTGTAATTGTGGAAGTCATTTTATTTTTACCTTCCAAAGAAAACAGAAGAAAGCTGTGAATTTTCTATGATTGCCTCTACTTTCTAGATATTTTGATCCTTGTATTTTCACTTATCCATTCACATATGCAGATTGCCAGAACATTTCGGGAGAAAGGTATACCTTGTGATGTCATATGGATGGATATTGACTACATGAATGGGTTTCGTTGTTTCACTTTTGACCAGGCATGTCCTCATTAGACGATCTTAGTATATATATCCCTGGTACCATAAATGATTAGAAAATGGTTGGATATTCCCTAGACCCTCCTGCCATTATTGACATGGAAAATGAACTATTGTGATTTCTATCAGGAACGCTTTCCAGATCCAAAATCTTTAGTGAAAGATCTACATCTCACTGGATTCAAAGCAATCTGGATGCTTGACCCAGGGATCAAACATGAAGAAGGATACTTTGTTTACGATAGTGGTTCTGAATTGATGTCTGGATTCAAACAGCTGATGGAAAACCTTTTGTTGGTAGATCACTTTATGCCTTTACATTCATGCTTGACCCAGGGATCAAATATGAAGAAGGATACTCATTTTCAAGTTTTAACTCTGTTTTTTAGGGGAGGTTTGGCCTGGGCCTTGTGTTTTCCCTGACTTTACATTGTCTAAAACTCGTTCATGGTGGGCTAGTTTAGTGAAAGATTTCATTTCTAATGGTGTGGATGGTATTTGGAATGATATGAATGAACCAGCTGTTTTTAAGGTTGAAAAATCTAGAAATCCCCTAGATGTTGATTTGTGATTATGTATCAATTTTAAGCAGAATATAACAATCCCAATCAAACAATCAAACAATCAAGACAAAGAGACACAGCGATTTAACGTGGAAAAAACCACAATTGGACACCTCCAACTGTGATCAAAAAACCACGGGCAACAGCCACAAGAACAATCCACTAAGAAGAATTAAAGGAATTACACAGGTATACTCTCAATTACCTAGCGAATCCACAACGCCTAATTGAACCAACCTCTATGTCCCTCTTCCAGCCCCATCTTCACCACGGAATTGTCTTTCGGATGAGCCACTCCGGATTCCACCAAAGCTTCAGGCACGAATTCTTCAGAATCCACAACTGAAGAACAACTCTCTCTTTTGTGTATAACAAACAAACCTTTGATGTACTCTCTTTAGATCATGAGTTGAAGATGCGCGTGACTTGAACTTTCATTTTTAATTTTATGCAACTTCCTCGTTTGGTTTTACGGATATCACGGTTAGTAGAGGCCGATCTTCGGATCGGGCGAGAGGGGGTGCTCATAGCTGACCTTCCCTAATCGTACCCAAGCTCCCGAACCGAGGCAACTTTGGTGATGACGGACATGTGGCCTTTAGCACCAAGTCAGGGTTTCCTAAATTTTCCAAAATAAAATATTTAGGTGGCGACTCTGTATCTGGCAAAACAGTCCATGTTTGACACTTCTTTTCTAAAAATTTGTTTTTCTCAAAACGATTTGCCGGATTTGGACTCTTTGGTTCAAATTAAGAACCGTGACACAAATCGAGTCCGAACTGTAGCGGGGTCCCTCACGGGCGCGTCTACAGCGGACATGCAACTTTGAATGCAATTTTGCATTTTGCTTCGGGGGCGCTACCCCTCGACCTCGCCTGGGCGCTGCCCTGAACCCACTAAGGGGCGCTGCCCCCTGGACCCCCGCGAGCTGACCGGGCAGCTCGATCCCCGTCATAATCAGCGAAGTGGCAATCTTGAAAACATTAGCATCACAAACTTCTCTGAAAAGCTTGATTCGGGTTGGATTCGCATCTAAACACTCAAAGTCTAACTGAAATAAAAAAAGCGACTAAAATTACAACTCAAAGGAGTTTTGTCAAACGGGATTGCCAAGAATTAAAACCTAACAAAGGTGATGCTCAGAACTCTTCCTCCCTTGCTTGCATATGTTTTAATTTGTTCATGGTCTTAGCATGTTTCTTCACACGCTGTAACAAAGACGATGCCTGAGACCAACGTGCATCGTGGAGATATTGAACTTGGAGGTTGTCAAAATCACTCGCATTATCACAATGTATTATCCGTAGCTCTATTCTTATGCTTTACATTTTACATTTTTATAAAG